TTTTTTATTTTATATATTTTATATATTTTTTTATTTTATATATTTTATTTATTTTATATATATATATATACATATACATATATAAAATCTATCTAATGCACATTTTAATTATATTATTATCTTTTATTTCTTCGTATTATATTTTTTTTTATTATATGTTTAAATATGCGAGAGAGATCACCGTTCTCAGATCATTCTGTATCCGGTATCGAACAATCAAAGTTCACGAAAATTCGATATAATTCGATCTACGATAGTTTTTTTCCCGGTATTATAATTTTCCAATGAAAATTAGAGAAGAGATTAAGATAGAGAGAGATGCCCGAACATGATACACTCAACACAAGATACACTCAACACAAGATACACTCAACTTCACGAGAACAAATTCACGAAAACACTTATCTATCGATTGATCCGCGAAATCTCTGAACACAAATTTGAACCAACTATCAAGATCAAATATCGCGTATAACTAGCGAGATATTAAGTGAAGAGAATAGAGTACGAACCTTCTCCTTAGGTTTTTGTTCGGCGATCTTCCTTTTTCCCATCACGTCTGATATCTTGATACTTCAGTTACTCTGAATATCTGATGCACGGTTCAATTGGCACTGCCGATGTTTATCCTAACACTTGATGCACAAGAATGATCCGTGTTGTCTCAACTCAACTACTATCTATCATAGAATAGAGCTGTCTCTCCACTACCTGCCGCGAGGATAAAGGACCCTTGGTAGGAAGGTATGAAAATGAGCCGTTCCTGCCCAATTCTGCCCATCCTTTTTCGCATAATTGTCCCATTTAGCCAATCGAGGGAAAGAAAAATGGAAACTCCCACTTTCTCAGTGACAAATCTAAGAGTTACTCGTCCGATGTTTCGTTTCTTCCTCCACCTTTCCGAGATCCATTGGTTGGAACAAATAAGTGAACGTTCCAATATGAAACGAATCTCGTCCGCTTTCAAGACAATTCGATTAATAGGTATCAATATTATTATTATTATTATTATTATTATCATCATCTAACGATATTAATAACGATCTAATCTTCTATTAATAATCGTAGATCGCATTACGAATAAAATGTATCGCGAGATTTCGTCGATTGTAGAAAGAAATTGTATTTTTTCCTTTCTTTTTTCTTTTTTTTTTCTTTTTTTCTATTTTTATTTATTCAAAATCATTTCAATCATTTCGACCATCATTAATACGATAACAACGTAGAATCGTAGAATCGCAAAGAAGAGATTGTGAAAAACGCAAAACGTAAAAACGTAAAAATTATTTGAGGGATATATGCATACATATATATATATATATA